TAATCTCTGATATTCTTATAATGTCAAACCAGAAAGTATTAATGTGCAAGTGAGAATATGTGTGTATTGGAGGAGAATATATGGTTGTGAGAGAAAGCTTGGCTGAAATGTTAGTTTGGATGAAACGGAAGGCAGGACACCTTACTGCTCTGTGATTGGTTGAAAGGTTCGAGGGCGGGTCATAGTCAAAACAGAAGCGCTCTCATCATGAACGGTGAAGACAAAGCAGGAGGCTTCAGCAGGTAATGGAGATGTTAGGGAATTATCTGGTCCTGAAATAATCATCTTCAGCTCTTGAGCAGCAAAGGACAAGCTCACCTCTCCCTAATGTTACTCAAAGCGCGACTCATGTTGCGAATGACCACAGTCACCAATTCTTGTTATGTGTCTTACCCACATATGTCTGATCTTTGAATTGTGTGTGCTGAAACTGAATTTCATTTCTCCGTATGTCCTGCACATGTGGTAGAAGATGACAATAAATGACTTTGACTTTGACTTTGAAGCGTGGCTGAAAATGGCATGAGAGATCCTTTCAGAAGAAACCCCTCTGCAGGCCAGCCGGTTAGAAACTGTGTTTCCGTCAACTGCGCCTCGATTCCAGCTAACCAGACATGGATTACCTTTTATTTTGATGAAAAAAAATGAAAGAAGAGTTTTGCTACCTATTGTTCAGGTTGTGGGTGGCATCAGAAAATGATACGTTTATTATTCTAACATGGATCGCACGTGACAACTGATCAAGCTGAACTTTACTCTGAAGAGAGGAGGATGAATGTCTGCGTGTTAACCAGGAAAAGTGCAAGGCAGTAGCATGAGGTTTCTATAGCAATGGCAGTACTAGTCCAACAATGGCTCAGCAACCTCAAGCTTTGACCAATGGCTGTAGAAAACACACTGAAGATGTGTGGTCAGAAGAGGCAAAGCAGGCTCTGCCTCCTGTCTTCGTGACAGCTTAAATTCTATGATAGAAAATCAACGTTTCCACTGACCAAGGGCGGATTTAGGACTGAAGAAGATCCGGGGCTTAATACACACACGCGTGCACGCACGCGCACACACGTGACACGCACTAGTCAACATCATATATATTTGTCTTGTACTACATAATTTTTAATCTGAAGCTACATATTAAGCATATTCAGGACAGAGTATCGTTCCTGTTAGTGTTTAGTGTGAGATGATAGTAAATATTCCCTTTCTTTCTCCATCAACGTTACCTGATAAGCTAACTTTAGGCAAACCAGCAACACAACAAATATTTTCAAATAAGACTCACAAACCTGAGTCAACAACAGTCTCATCAAAGCTGGGGTTCTGACGTTGTACTTTTGGTCTAAAAAATGTCCTTATGTCCATCTTCACACATGCGTTTCAGGCAGAGAGTGTGGAAGAAGCCGGCTGCTGAAGGGCTTCTTCTTCAGTGGTGGAGGCTCAGGCAGGCTGTATACAAACTACTGCCAGCTGCTTCCTCTCTGTTGGACTTTGGTACTGCATGTTACTTCCACCATTTAGATCCGGGGCTTTTCATAAAACATCCGGGGCTTCAGCCCAAGTAGCCGGGCCTAATGCCGCCCCTGCCACTGACTGGTTCATACATTTGTTTTCTGTATGATTTCATCAAGTTTATGGTCAAAATCGCTGAATTTACGTGATTCCTGATCAATTGCAAAGCAGAAGAGCGAGGGGATGCACTAACAAGCCGTAAAACTCCCACTGAGCTGCACCAGCTCTGCACACACTAACAGATTTAGGCAGAGCGCATGCACTAACTCCCTTGCATGTGTGTTCTGTGTGCTCAGCGCAGGGAGCAGATGAGAGCTGCCTCTGATCTCACAACTTCTAGTTTACTGTTTAAAGTTTATAAAAATGGAGTTTACACCAGACACGATGATCCTCTCGTCAGGGACCGTGGTCATGTAAGCTGATACTTAAATACGCAGTCAAGCCACCCGACGCTGGCTCAGCTAAAGATGAGCTTCGCACAGATAATATATGTGTGTGTGTGTGTGTGTGTGTGTGTGTGTGTGTGTGTGTGTGTGTGTAGAGAATATGTGTGTATGAGTGCATCGTGTGTGTGTATGAGAAGAATGAATGCATGTGTGAGGAGAATAAAATCATGTGAGAGTAACAGAATGAATTATGCATTACACAGCCCCTCGTAGTGTTTGGATGGGATTCTGCAGCCTAACAATTATTTCACTTGAAGGAAATGCACGCCACACCTCAGAAATCACAGCTGGCATGGTCAGAGAAGAGGGATGGACAGTTTCACAGATCCTAAAAAGCAGAGCGAAATTTATTTGCACCAAATGAGCATTAATGATCGCTATGGTTTAATGTGAGACAGAATTAACGACCCTAGAAAATAAAGTTTTGGTTCAGCTCTAGGAGATGAGAAAGAAGGGAGCTCACATCCTGTATGAGAGGCTGACATTTAAATATGACAGTTTAATAATTAATATTTAATGGAGAACTTTAAAATGATTTAAATAAAGGGTGCTGGTGGTTATTTGCTGTTAAAGGTGTGGTAAACTTGGTTAATCATTTCATTTGCATTGGTCTCTGGTAGGAATGAATGCCTTACAAGCTGTACTCAAGGTGCAAAAAAAAAAAAAAGCCCAGCATTGTTTGGATCAGCACCAACAAGTCTGCTGCTGCAGTCTTACCTGATATTTGGACATCTTGCCTCAGATTGGATAACAGCAACGCACCTCTATCACTGATTTGCAATGAATTTGTTTTATCTCTACAAATAACACAAGCCTAGTGGAGTTGCTAATGCTAACGGTTAGCTTTTGCTAATCCGGAAGTTGTCTCCTGTGTCCTGGACGTTAAAACAACAATAACCTTCACCACTGTGAGTCAAGATCAGCGATTGAATGTTTGATCTGTCAGGCTTGTCAAATCTAGAGTTCACTGTCTATTTTCCATCAGAAGCCAATGCAGGAGCTAGACTACTTTCATGTTCAGCCTGCATGAAAATCTCACAGTGACAGATTATAATGATTTTTCAGTGAACCACATCTTTAAGAAAGAACCTCAAACCCTCTGACTGAAACTGGAAAATTATCCTTATTAATCTGGATACATTCTTAATCTCTTGTCTATCTATAAAAGCCGCAGATGTAAATAAAGTGTTTTAGGTTTAGCATGGTTTTCTTTCTTCATGCCATGTTTCATCTTCTATTTGTTGACTTGGTTTTATCTCTTTATTGCTTTGTATTGCTTATTATTGTTTTCTTTCATGTTTTATTGCTGGTTTTGTTGTCTGATCCACTTTTTGTTCTACCTTAACATACATGCATCTCAGCTAGATTACCATCAGACCATTTTTATGTCCCTGTTTGGGTTCCCTGTTTCACTCTTGCTTTTCTTTCACCCTTTTCGTGCATGGATCTGGTCGGGTTGTTGGGTCTTTCTCCCTTAACACTAAATACATTATTTAAATCCAAATTTACATTTACAAATATTTACATCTTAAATTGTTGGCACAAGCTTCATAGACCATTTTATCTCAGATTCTGCTTTGTGCAGGTTACAGATTTCATTCAATAAGAACTAAAAATTCCTATTTTTGATCTGAAGATAGTAGGGGTGGTGGCAAACAATTTCCCAGGGGTGGCCGTGCCCTCCGCTGGCCACCCCTTGGGGCGCCACTGGATTCATGCACTGAATCAAACATGATATTATATTATAGACCTTTTAGCCCAATTAAACTTAAAGAAATGCATGGAACAACACTTCCTACTGCCTTTTGAAAAGTAAATGCTAAATATATTTAAATACATCTAATCACAACAAC